CAGTGGACCCAGCACCAATCCTTTTGGCACATCACTGGTCACAAGTCTCCAGTCTGAAAAGCAACTCTACCTCTATCCTCTGTCTTCTTCCTTTGAGCTAGTTCTGAAGAAGGGTCTAGGCCCGAAACGTCAGCCTTGGCGTGTTGTGTTCATCCAGCTCTACACCTTGTTATCTCTGTATCTATATGGCTAGTGCTCCTTGTATTCCATGTGATCTAACCTTGCTAACCAGTCTACCATGAGGAACCTTGTCGAACACCCGACTGAAATCCATATCGATCATGTCCACCATTCTACCCTCATTAATCCTTTTTGTTACTTCTTCAAAAAACTCAGTAAAGTTAATGAGACTTGATTTCCCATGCACAAAGCCATTTTGACTACCCCTAATTAGTCCTTGCCTTTCCAAATACATGTAAATCCTGTCCCTCAGGATTCCCTCCAACAACCTGCCCACCACTGATGTCAGGCTCAACAGTCTACAGTTCCCTGGCTTTTCCTTACCACCTTTCTAGGGTACACCTGATCAGGTCCTGGGGATTTATCCACCTTTATGCATTTTAAAACATGTAGCAACTCCTCCTCTGTAATAAGGACATTTTTCAAGATATTGCTATTCATTTCCCGACTTTCGATATCTTCCATGTCCTTCTCCACTGTAAAACACTGATGCGAAATACTCGTTTAGTGTCTCCCCATCTCCTGCGGTTCCACACATAAGTGGCCTTACTGATCTTTAAGGGGCCTTATTCTCTCCCTAGTTACCAATTTTTATTCTTAATGTATTTATAAAATCCCTTTGGATTTTCCTTAACCCTATTTGCCAAAGCAATCTCATGTCACCTTTTTGCCCTCATGGTTTCCCTCTTAAGTATACTCCTACTGGTTTTATGCTCTTCCTAGGATTCACTAGATCTCTGCTGTATCTTCCTGACATATGTTTCCTTCTTTTTCTTGGCCAAAACCTCAATTTTTCTAGTCATCCTGCATTCCCTACACTTACCAGCCTTGTCCTTCACCCTAACAGGAATATCCTGTCTCTGGACTCTCGTTATCTCATTTTTGAAGGCTTCCATTTTCCAGCCGTCCCCTTACTTGTAAATATCTGCTCCCAATCAATGTTTGAAAGGTCTTGCCTAATACCGTCAAAATTGGCCTTCCTTCAATTTAGAACTTTAACTTTTAGATCCAGTTTATCTTCTTTGTTCATTATTTTAAAACTAATAGAATTATGGTCTCTGGCCCCAAAGTGCTTGCCCACTGGCACCTCAGTCACCTGCCCTGCCTTATTTCCCAAGAATAGGTCAAGTTTTGCACCTTCTCTAGTAGATAAGTCCTTATACTGAATCAGGAATTTTTCTTGTATGTACTTAATAAATTCTTCTCCATCCAAGTCCTTAACATTATGGCAGTCCTAGTCTATGTTTGGAAAGTTAAAATTCCCTACCATAACCACCCTTCTATTCTTCCAGATGATCGAGATCTCCTTACAAATTTGTTTCTCAATTTCCCTCAGTCTACTGGAGGGTCTATAATCCAATCTCAATCAGGTGATCATCCCTTTCTTATTCCTCAGTTCCACCCAAATAACTTCCCTGGATGTATTCCCAGGAATATCCTCCCTAAGTACAGCTGTAATGTTATCCCTAATCAAAAGTGCCAATCCCCCTCCTCTCTTGCTTGCCATTCTATCCTTCCTATACCATCTGTACCCTGGAACATAAAGCTGCCAGTCCTGTCCATCCCTGAGCCACATCTCTGTAATTGCTATGATATCCTAGTCCCATATATCCAAACACGCTGTGAGTTCATCTGCCTGACCTGATAGGCCTCTTGCATTAAAATAAATGCAGGTTAATTTATCAGTCCTACCTAGTTCTCTGCTTTGTTCCTGCCTGCCTGCCCTGTCTGCTGACTTGCTCCTTTCCCCAACTGTACCAGTCTCTTTCCTCACCATCTCCTTGGGTCCCACCCATTCCCCTTACTAGTTTAAATCTTCCCGAGCAGCTCAAGCAAATCTCCCCACCAGTACATTAGTCCCCTTCCAATTCAGGTGCAATCTGTCTTTCTTTAACAGGTCCAGTGAACAGTTTATTGCTAAACAAATTCAACCTTATAGCATCATCAATAATCCCTTCCATAACTCTGCTAAAAATCAAGAGTAGATTGATAGGCTTATAATTGGACAATTGGTTTTGTTGTGGTTCTTGTGAACAGGATATTACTGGGCAATTGCCACAATTGTCACGCAGATGTCAGTGCAATGGAATTGGCTAAGGGCAGAGCTAATGATGGAACATAGGACTTCAGTACTATTGGTGGAATATGTTGCCAGGGCCCCTAGACTTTACAAGGTCTACAGCAGTTTCTGGAGTGAATTAAATTAACTAAAGACTGACATCTGTGATTCTGGGGACCTCAGCAGGAAGCTGATTTGAATTATTCGCTAAGTATTTCCTGCTGAAGATGGAAGCAAATGTTTCAACAATATCTTATACATTAATGTGCTGAGTTCACCCATCTTTGAAGATGGGGATATTTGTAGAGCCTTTTCCTCTTTATAGTGTTTAATTGTCTACCATCACTGCTGGGTGTGGAAAGACTGCAATCCTTGGATCAGAGCTACTGTTGTGGGATAACTTAGCTTTGTCTATTATGTTGCATTTGCTTTTTGGCAAGCAAGAGCTCTGTGTGGTAGCTTCATGAGGTTAAGAACTCTTTTCAACTTTCAACACAAGACAATGACTCATCAAAGGTTTAAACATCTTTCCTAAATTGTGTTTTGCAAAAATTGACACAATGCTCCAGCTGAAGCCTAACCAGTGATTTATAAAGGTCGAGCTTCCTTGTTTCCATATCCCGTTTCTCTATTTATAAATAAAATCCTGGTTCCCATTATCATTTGCAACAGATTGTCCTACAATATTCATAGATTTCTCTACGTACATCAAGGGTCTTACAGTCCCTGCATCCATTTAAAATTATTTAGTTTAATATTACCTCTGCCCATTCTTCATTTCACAACACAGCACTTCATACTTCAAATTTCATCTACCTCCTGTCCGCATATTTCACCAGACTTTGTGTCTATCTGAAGTCTGTTCCTATTTTCCCAATTGTAGAGACAGTGTTCAACACCTATGCACATGAGTTTCTGTGACATGATCTGGTGTGACTGTGACCGCAACTAAAGTGGACTGTGTTAGAAAGTTGTAACTGGAGTAGTTCAGAGCACTGCTGCCCACTGTAAAATCCTCATCTAGATCGTTTAAATAAACATGTTTCAGGAAACCTTGAGATCTGGCCCACAGTTAGCTGAAGAACAGAAGACCCTATAGTATGTTTCTTGCCTACTACATATTGAAATTTGGTTGGAGTTCTCAATTTTAAAATATTGCTTTAAATATCTGAGTGAACTCTTCCAATCCTGAAAAGGTTTTCAATAGAACTCCTCCTTTCTCTGACTCCTGCTTATTTGTATTTTCCCTCTAATCCATGTGTCAAAGATCAGAGATTTAACCATGTGACAAGATTATTTGGAAATCTAAATAATTTTAATGGAGGTTCACTGAGCTTGTGCAACACAGTTTTGAAAAAATTATAGTTCTGCATCAAATTTCTATTGTTGCCATGCCTTACAAGGCACAGGAGAAAGGAATCAATCTTCATACCTAGATCTTCACTTTTAAAGACATTGTTTGGAAATGCAACAAAGCATTCTACCAAATACCTGATTTGGTTTTCTGTTTGTAACTCAATGTTGACTCGTACTACTTTAAGTCTCCCAATGTCTTCCTCAATGTTTTTCTTGAAAATTAATTGTAGAATTTTTCCATAGAACAATGTGAGCTCAAATTATCAATAGTTACTTTGATTACATTACTTCAACACCCCCATCCAACAAAGATTCCCCCTACCCTGGGCAATCACTTTACAAATAGGGACACTAATGTTCTCTGTCCCATTCTCTACTTTCCTATCACTTACTGATCATTCTTGAGTTCCTGACTAGATAGCAGATAAATATTATCAGTTTCAGGTGTCTTATCTACTTGGATTCTTTTCAAGCATTTGGCCAGCAGCTGTAATTATATTGTTCTCTCTGTCCAAATGAAAGTTTTCATCTGGTTCTTGCTATTTTCTCTTACTGGCCTTCACTCATCAATATGTGAAAAAAAAAGAGCTGATTTCATTTTTCAGCCTTGACCGCATCTTCACTAACTTTACCTTTTGTTTCAGAAATCAATCAATTCTATATTCTTTTGTTTTTTGTAGCCTTTTCTCTAAGTGACTCTGCCAATAACCGACCATTTACTTCAATTGTTTTTGCTTTTTTTAATAGTTCTCTTTCACACTGTCCAGTTGATTTTTATATACTTTAAAGGAGAAATCTAAAATGAGTTGCAAATTATCATCCATGTCATACAACCACATAAAGTCAAGATCCGCACCTCTGATAATTTCTTTGTATTGATTCCTTGTTGCAGGCAATGCACTCCATTGTAATGTCTGTTTTATTTCTAATGGTATATGTTATTTTTCCTTCCTGTCATTGAATCTGGTCCACATTATTCACTGCAACTCTCACAATTCCATGTCATCTATTCTATCTCTACATCATCATTTCTAACCTGTACCAATCAGGTACTGCACCACCACTTTTCCTGTATTCCACCTCATTCTTTTACTTGTGTGTGCATCCTCCAGGAACCTGAGACCCTGCAGTTTAATGGTCTAAAAACACAGTTGCTCGTTCATTTTCTGTATCTTGGCCAGAAATTTAGGAGTGTATGATTGCTCTTCAGTTGTTGAACCTTTTCTTTAACTCATGCCTAAACATTCCAATTATGGGACAGCATTTTGTCGGGTATCACTGCTGATAATGGCATCCGTTAATACTTTCAGGAATTCCAGACTCCCTTTACTCTGAGTGCTACCTACGTTCAATTGAATATCCATTAAAATCCCTTGTTGATTAAACAAACTTTGTTGGATTTTTCCCTCACTTGTTTGTGAAATAATTCAAATATTCAGCTGTTCAGCCTGTTGTAGTGTTGAAGATTTCTAGTAGTAACTTGGTCTTAGTTTCTCCTGGATGGATATAATGAGAGAAACAGAAGGGAGTTTAAATTGAGTGGTGGATGTGTAAATATGGGAAGAAATAGTAAAAGTACTACACCTGCTGTTAAAACATAAGATTCCTTATTCTCCTTCTACAATCCCTCTACTAATACGGGTATAGCCAACTTAAGTGGAAGAAATACACAATACAATTTTTAATACACCGATCACTCCCCTTCATAATAATGAGGATGAAGCATGACTCAATGATTTCTTTCTAAAATGCAAAAAAATCCTTAAACATAACTTGAACATTAAACTTTACCAGTAACCAATGCAAACCTTCTATTAATTTAATAATGATTCAGTCATATGTAATGAGATATATGCTTTGTTGACCAACTGAAAATAGTTTACTTTGTAACATGGGTAGTTCCTTCTGTCCTGTATTTGTTGTAGCAAGCTCTCTGCTCAGTGAACAGCTATGTAACTGTTATTTCTGCTTCCAAACATTGTTACCAAACTCTGCCAAATTATCACTATTCACTTTTTTAGCAAATGGAGTGTTCCATTACGAGTGACCTTTATGACTGATAGGAAAATATATTGGGCCAAATCTTCCAATGTGTGGCAACAGCATATTTTTTCAATTTAAGTCCTTTTGGATCAATCTTTCCAGAGTTCCATGTTTTTGACCTGGAGTTCCATTTTGTACTTCTTCAGGAATATAGCAGCAGCCTGCTCAGGACGACTTTTTGTGCAGTACAGAATCAATGCTGAAGACCAAACCATGTCGAGCCACGTCCCATTTTTACAGCAGTAATTGCAGTGCTCTGGCTATTAAAGGCCCCAAAACATTTAATTTGATTTGGTTTATTATTACCATATGTACCTAAGTACAGTGAAAAGATAACCTGCTGATAGAAGACAAATATGTAAGGTTAGTAGATGAGGGGGAGTAAGGTTGAAGCTCGGTGGGAGAATGGATAGTGTGGCAGGTGGGTGAGGGCTTGTGTGGCTGAGGTTGCAGGTAAGATGAAGACTGAGGGCACTGCTGGAGTATCATGTGAGGACATGTTTCCTTCTCTGCCTGGATACCCTCTAGCTGCTTGCTTCCTTGAGAGGAAGGTGCACCTAGAGTGACTGTAAAGTCCCTCATCCCACTGCTGCCTCGCTGTTGGTGTTGAACATCAATGGCTAGAGTGATGGAGTACAGATCTATGCATATATCCAGAAAACACTGAGTGTACTGGACCTGGCTCTCTATGACAAACACCAACCTGCCCGTGTCAGTGTCTGCATGGTCAAATGGCATTACAGGACATCTCCAATTTTGGATCCAGTTTCTTGAGTCTCTTTGATATAACTGCCTGCTACTCCTGTGTCAGCCTGAGCATTTTGATGAAGTTATTAATGTTCAACAACACGGGGTCCTCTCGTGCCTTGGGCAGAACAGGTTGCTGGTCTCTGACAGATCTCTGAGTGTCAGCTGTCAGCAGCATTGTTTCCTTGGCCAGCTACAGAGACAGGTCATTGACGTGCACACCAGAAAGTGCTCTCATTTCTGATCTAACTAACGGGCTCAGAGAGGGAATTCAGAAGACAGTCTTACCGCTGCCTCCTCTTAATAGTCTGTGATTTCTTTCTCCGAGGTAGAGGCAGAAGTGTTGGCTGGAAGAGCTACTTTGTTCAGGGAAGAGACTGTGCAGATGTCACTGTTGTATGTAGAAGACAAATGAATAAATTATGAGTGAAATAGGGGTTGAAGCTTGGGCATATTAAGAATACATTTATAGTGCTGCTAAAGTGAGCACTTAACATTGAATCCTGCTTGGTTGGTCTTAGCATCAGGCCTCCATGACCTCAAGGATCCTCTCTCAGTTGGATTGAGGAAATAAATTTCAGAGACTCCACTATCCATCTTGGCTCTCTCTGTGCTACGTTAAACCATTGTCTTCTGCAAGGAAAGAGACTGAGTGAGAAGAAAGTGGCTGACATAGCTGTTAATGTTGGTGAGGGTGGGAAAATGTATTGAGGTGACACAAGTGAGTGAGTAGCAAGTGTAAAGGGCAGGATGGGATAGTAGTATGGGGGAACAGGGTGGATAAAAGTGATTGAGGGAAGACGCTGCATGCAAATATGGTTTACAATATGGAACAAAAATTGTAGAGGATGAGTTTTGGTGAGAGGTGAGTACAATATCAGAGATAGACTAAATGTGAGGTAGCAGAGAGAAGATGATTTCACCTACCCTGGCAGAATGGATAACTAAGAAGATTTATAAATTTATGAAGGGAATAAATAAGATAGAAGCAGGGAGGCTGTTTTCACTGGTAGGTGAAACTAGAACTAGTGAGCATCGCCTTAAAATAAGGGGGAGTAGATTTAGGACTCAGTTGAGGATGAACTTCTTCACCCAAAGGGTTGTGAATCTGTGGAAATCCCCCCCAGTGAAGCAGTTGAGGCTACATCGTTGAACGTTTTTAAGGCGAAGACAGATTTTTGAACACCAGAGGAATTAAGGGTTATGAAGAGCGGGCAGATAAGTGGAACTGAGTCCATGAAAAGATCAGCCAAGACCTTATTGAATGGCAGAGCAGGCTCAACGGGCTAGATGGCCTATTCCTGCTCCTATTTCTTATGTTACTATTTTAACCTTTATTAAAAAGAGACTGGAGCTTAAAAGTAAACGTGGCAGAGTGGGTCAGTGGTTAGCACTACTGACTCACAGTGCCAGAGATCCAGGTTTGATCCAGCTCAGGCGACTAATTATATGCAGTTTACACATTCTCCCCATGTCTGTATGGTTTTCCTTTGGGTACTCCAGCTTGCTCTCACAGACCAAAGTTATGCAGGTCAGGTGGAGTGGCCATGCTAATTTACCCATAGTGTCCAAGGATAGGCAGATTAAGTGGATTAGCCATGGGAAATTCAGGATTACAGGAGTAGTCTGGGGAGTAGGTCTGGGTGGGATGTTCTTCGGAGAGTCAGTGTGGACTCAAAGGGCCAAATGGCCTGCTTCCATACTGTAGGGATTATATGATGCTATTAATTGATACTGCAGTTATAGGAACAGCCCACACCTGGTGTAATGTGCACATTTTTTTTCTCCTATCCTGCTTGAGGAAAGGTATATTTGCCTGAGAAGGAGTATAAGAAAGATTCACTGAACTGGTTCCTGGTGTGAGGAGATTGTCCTGGGCAGAGAGATTGATGGGGTTAAGATTAAAGAATTTAGCATATAGAAGAACAAGGAGTGACCTCTTTGAAACATACAGCTTTTTAAAGGGGTTGACAGGATAGATGTTAGGAGTATGTTTCCTTTAATTGGGGAAATCTAGAATTAGCTGGTCACTAACTCAGAATAAGAGATTGGTCATTTAGGATTGACATGGGGACAAACACCTTCATCCAAAGGTTTCTAAGCCTTTGACATTCTGAACTCAGAAAACTGTGACTGTTCAGTCATTGAGTGTACTCCGGTCAGAGATCAATAGATATTGTAAACTAAAGGAATCGAGAATAGTGACCGAATAAAGATCAGCTATAATCTTAGTGAATGGCTCAATTCAGCTTCTATTTCTCCAGTTTCTTTATTCTGAGCTCTGAAAATATGTGCAGCCTCCATCATTGATATCTTTATGGTCATTTTCTGCCCAAATTATGAGTGCTGAATCATCAAATTTCTCAGTTGCTGTCAGCACAGCTTTAAGAGAATCACACAAATACTGCGTACTACCTACATGAAATCCCTTTAAAATAAAATACCCATATTAAAAGTATGTAGATTTATTAATTTGCACTTTGAACCACAAGAACAATCAAAGCAATAGGGAGGGTGGAAATCCTCCTTTAATGAGATTGTCAATTTTCTTCTTGATTAATAACTAGCCAATGAAAGAGCACACCCTGAAATAACAAAAGGCACATAGCCCAGTGCTTTCATTTGGAGTTGTTAATTATGGAGAAAAGCAAATGTTCTACTGGTTTTCATTAAGGCAAAAATTGTGGGCCCACAGTATTAAAAAGAAATTTTTGATACAAGAATGATGCAAATATATCAGAAATAAATTACTTCTCATTGTAATTTTTGAAATAGTTATTATTACTGATGTAAGTCTTGGTACATGTGATTATAAGCTTCATGGCAATCATCACATACTCCAGTATTGGTTTGAATTTCCAGAAAGTATGTTAAATACTCAAGTGGTTTTAGATTTATTCTGTTTGACACTATGTCCAGAGTGGCAAGTTATGTATATGGACAATCCTGGTACAAATTAATAATCTAATTCCCCATAAAATGAAATGATTGATTGTTCTTCATTCCTCTCTATGTGTTGTGTTTGTGTTATCAACTATTTTTAATACTACACCTCTAGAGTTTCCTTATTTTCTGTGCCATTGTTGCCTTTAGATCATTGTGGATGGTACCAGAAATGGTCAGCATTATTTCAAATGTGAATCTTAGCAGGTTTCAGAAAGATGAAACTTTAAACTCATCCATGTGCAAGTGAACAGTACACTCGTGTGATGGGAAATTATATCTGGTTTGGCCAACCAGGGGGAGGAAAAAACAATGGAAAAATAGGCAGTAATACTTGGAAATCAATGTATTGGGCATGTCAGAGTGCTATTTTGAAATATACAAAATGAGTTAGACCAGAGATAGTCCTGGCAATGATGGAGTCAGAGATAACACAGTGTAGAGCTGGAGGAACACAGCAGGCCAGACAGCATCAGAGGAACAGGAAAGTTGGCATTTCGGGTCGGGATCCTTCTTCCCCTGGCCTGCTGTGTTTCTCCGGCTCTACACTGTGTTAACTATGAGTTAGATCAGGATGTGTTGACCACATATCTTGTTAGCTTTTCCTTCTGGTTAGCTACTTGATTGGATTCTTAGATGCCGAGTGGAGAATTAAGGTGCTGCCTATAATTGAACAAATTTATTGGTGTTATGTGTTTCATGGACTGGGATCTAAAGCCACAATTGTATTCTGGGTTGTTCCTGGTCTTCCACTTAGGAGTAC